CACTTCACTGCTTAGGAGATCCCTGAAATGATGGAACGGTGTTGCAATATGAAATGATAATGGCGAGGAGTTAAAGGCCTTTTCTAGATTTAATTCTGTGCCTTTGCTTTAACATAGGAGTTCCCCTATGATGAGGTGAGGTAGATAACTGGATAACTATGGTGGTCCATGGAGAATTGTCCAGTCACGTAGCTTTGGTTCCTCTTTCCTATATCCTGCTTCTACAATGCACTAGAAGGCCAATAGGGCACACTGAATGTTCTCCTAATGCCATTTTCCATGTAATTGCTGTAGAGGTCCCAAAAAGATTATGGAATTGTAAACAAGATGAGAGATGGTCCTTACAATTGCAAATTGGAGGGGAAGAGGTCCATTATAGCAGTATACACAGGAGGCTCTGGATACTGATCCCAGTCATGTGACATAAACCTTTTGTAACCGTGACCCATGTCACGGGACTGTGGCCAAGATATAAAGTGCATTCTCTGACCGGCACTATTGCACCCCACAACTTGATTATAGTGCACAAGATCATCTCTGTGTTAAAGTGTGGTCCATATCATAAGTTTTTGAAAGCCCCAGGTTAGTAGTGGCAATTCATCTGTTAGGGGGATATAGATAATCCTTGTCAATGACTTCCCAACTCAGAGTTACTTGTTATCAATAAGACTGCAGCTGATATAACAGCACCTCCCACGTTAGGGAGGGGAAAAGTGGGTTTAAACTTATTTGCCTTAAATTCACACTATAACAACACACTAGACTTTAAAATAGAATACCACCTTTTATACAGTAACTAAGTGTTGACAGCTACACTGAGGTGATAGTTGCTTGGTCTGGAGCCTGATTAAATATTGGCATTAATTATATCACACTCTGCTGATGTTTCACGGTGCTATATTGAGGAACACTTGACTGCCCTGCCTCTTCTGACATCAGTTGCAAGGCCTTGTGACTGAATCACTGTGTACACTGGGAGCTGAGCCAAATCAAGGAGCTAAGAACCAACACATTAAAAAGTATTGTTATAAAGTGTAGGTAACTTACTCAGAGATTAAAGGAGAGATACAATTGTCACAGGGGAGCCAAATACAACAAGGGCCAGTTGTTTTCAGCACGAAGTGTGAGCCCACTTTCACACAGATGCTAAAAGAATAGACTGACTTCATCGCTACCTGCTGATTATTTTTTTTTTCCAGAGCAGTTGCATCACACCTGCAGTTTACAGTTCTTGGCTTTAATTCTCACTCACCAGAGAATGCTGAAATGGAATGCTGACATTTCATTTTAAACATGGATTTGAGCGGCTCTCTTTTGGTCTTCAAATAAGCTCTCTCAAAGGCCTGTAGCCATATCACCTCAGGCTGTGACTTCACCAGATCTCACAAACTAAGCAGAGACAGGATGGGTCAGCTCTTATGGAACTGGAGAATGAAAATCCAGGTGATTTAGGAAGTAGTAGTGGTGATTCAGTAGGTGGCTCTCTTTCCCTCCAAGTCAGTGTAATGAATCAATTACCCAGTATGGAGCTAAAGGATATTGTTTTATTGGAAATAGATTTTGTATATAATAGAAAAAAGGGTAAGTCCTGAGCACATGTAACCTCTTAGGTTCCCACAACACTTTTCACAATTATAAGAGCATTAACCTAGTTGTCTCAGTCAAGTATCAGCTAGGGTAAATTGCATTCTGCCTCTCTAACTAGACCTTGAAGTTCAACTGAAGATGTTATTTTTCACTTTCTCCCTCTAAAAGTGGCAGGACAGTGCTGTTGGTGCAGAGTAGTTGTCAAAAAAAGAAGCAGTTTGGTGTATGGAGAATGGATCCCTAAATATATTTTTACTTACACACACCCCTTCCCCGCTTTCAGGATAAAAGTTGCTAGAGAAATAGCAACTGCTACTCATATTTAAAACTTTATTTTCTTAGTCAAAAAAAGGCCACACCAGAAAGACCTCCTAAAAATCACACCAAAACAAAAAACTTTTCCTGGAAGCAATCACTGGTGTATGTGGCTCCCTCCAGATAATCACTGCGTTCATTTCCAATAATTTGCTTCGTAGATGGCATATTCCTTATTAACAAATGAATGTCTTGTTTTGAATGCAATTCTTAGCTTTCAGAAATGCAGCCCCCAACCAAGCCTATGTATGGGATGTCTAATAAATGTCAATCTGAAAAAGAACACAAATTCCAAGAACTTTTAGTGCTGTTTGATAGTAATGCCCACTGCTGACTGGTCCTGGAAATTATTCTGTCTCTCCCTTTTGAACAAAAAAACCAAAACAAAACAAAAAAAATCAGAAAGTGGTTGATCTGTTTTTGGTATTAATCTTTTTTCTCTTCCTCTCACATGGAACAATCCACTCAACCGATGGAGAGAGATCAGTTGTCAATTAGTGGTAGGTGGAACATGAAACTGATCCAAAAAACTGCACAGTCCATAAATTGAAAGCAAACATATTTATTTTCCTGGATTGTTTGCATCTACTGAAACTGGCTCTTGATTTCAGTAGAAGCAGATTAACTTTTATAGCTACTGAGGGGGGTGGGGGGAATCACCAGAGCAGTAACAGTCATGTCATGCTCATATCAACATACACAAAGAAAAACTATACAGTATGCCAGTATTATCATCATTTTGTTCATCACTGTGCTAAACTAAATTTCCATTTAATCCTTCCTGCCTCCACACATGGAAAAAGAGACCTTGTAAATATGTCCAATACATGAATTTATTATCTATAAAATGCAAAACAATCAAAATGATAGGGGGGAAAATAAACTTAGCTTGAGTGCAGCATTAGGACTGAGAAATCAAGCACTCAAGAACAGGAAATTCATAAAGTTACACACTCAAATTTAATTCTGTCTGGTGTTTACATCAAATATATGTACATAACCTGCAATTTCTTGTAATCGCTCTCTGGTGGTTCCTAACTTTGTTTTAAAGTTTCTTCTAAATTGACGTGGCTATAATCTGCTTGTGATTTACCAACTTTTATGTTAAAAATTGTTACAAGATTATACACAATGCTGTGGATTTCAATAAACTATTTTTACAGTCACTTTTCAGAGGAGAATCACAGTCTAGTGCTGCTATGTGAAAGAGAAGGTGGCAGTCTGGGAGTAAAAAATTAAGCCATTGACCGAACAAAGGTGCAGAATTAAAAATGACAAGAGATTAAAGGCCAGTATAGTCCACTATGTCAAACACCCAGTGCTTCACAAAAAACTCCCCACCACACCTGCCCACTTAGCTCTTACTTCTACGGCTGTCTGCACAAGCACTTTTCTTCCACTAGAACAAGTGGAGCTCTATCAATGGTAGCAATGGTGGGACTATAAATGTAGACTGACCACTAGAGTTTCACCCACCATCTTGGCTAACTCTGCTCAGAGTAAGCATAGACAACATGGAGGCTAAAACATTACTGACTGCCAGTGGCCTGCCGATACTCGAACGCCCAACATTGCTACCAATAGAAGGTGTTGGTGGAGCTGTACCCAGAAGTAGCAAGTGACAGATTTTCCAAAACAGCTTAGCATGGATAAGATATTTGAAGGCAATCCTGCTGTGGTTGAAGTCCCATTGACTTCAATAGGAACAGGATCAGACGTTGTGTCATCAGAAGACTCTTTCCCTTCCAACCCTAATATTCTATGATTTTATCAGGAGAGAAGGATAAGGTCATTAATAAAGCAGACAATCTACAAAATAACATTTAAGGAATCTCTGTTTTGAAACAACAGGTTGAAGTCTATTTAAGGGGTTTCCAGATTGGAAAAGCTGGTGAGAGGAGCCTTATAAAATATGCATTGCTAATTGTTCAGTGCACATGGCAAAGGTCCCTAGGAAGAGAAAAGTAGCTTACCTAGAGTAGGACAGTGGTTACTTAGGCTACGTCTTCACTACGGGAGGGAGGGGTCGATTTAAGATACGCAAATTCAGCTACGCAAATAGCGTAGCTGAATTCGACGTATCCGAGCCGACTTACCCCGCCATGAGGACGGTGGCAAATCGACCTCCGCGGCTCCCCTATCGACGGCGCTTACTCCTACCTGCACTGGTGGAGTGCAAGCATCGATTCGGGGATCGATTGTCGCGTCCCGACGAGACGCGATAATTCGATCTCTGAGAGATGGATTTCTACCCACCGATTCAGGCGGGTAGTGAAGACGTAGCCTTATTTTTAAAACTGGCACAGTACATTTACGTTCCCTTCCAAACAGGGAATACATTTTGAACAATACAAGGATTCCACAGGCAAACCACTAACATGATGCACATCTGTGGTGCTATATACAGTAAAACAGTTAAGTCGCCTGCCACTGATGCCAAAACATATTTGAACAATTTATATACATGTGTGTCTAGCTCTTGTTTGGCAGTTCCTATCATGCTGCAACAGGGCTTCTATTCAGAAGAAAAAGCTATCCTGTTCTTTATTATCTTGGTCATCCATGTCACCAGCTTCTAGAGAGACTGATTTAAAACATACCGTACTAAAGAAACCTTAGAGAGCTCTCCTGCCATTTCCTGATGATGACCCAGCTCCATTTCTGTCCTATCTAAGGTCTGACAAAAAATGATACCCTTGGGTGAACATTAAGGTTTCTTGTTTCGCACACAAACTGACTTGCAAGACCTCTCAATACTCCCTGAGCTCCAACAGCACTTACGTTCACCCAGAAATGTTCTCCAAAAAGGAAGGGGGTATTTCCATGCTTTTAAGCTTATGGATGGTGCAGAACAGTGTTATGCATTACAGCATTCCACAAGTGAGACCCTTAAACTTTCTACTTAAAAGGTATTACCCGGATTAGCTAAAAAGCTCCCTTTTTACTGCAGTACTAGATCTTTAATTTGATTTATTTGGGGAGCAAAGGATAAAACAAGATAACCAAGATCCCTGGGACAGAACAAAACCGCATGCAATAGGTACAATTTGTGACACAAAAAAAGATAAAACAAGTAGTTTAAATGTTGGTCTACTCACATATAACGGAGCTTGCTGTGGATTAAGTTTCATGACCCGAACACTGGAATGGAAGAGAAAAGAGGTGTTAAAAACATTCATTTATCCTCTCTAAAATTAACTATTTTTTTGGTAAACTGCAGAATCCTAAAAAAAGAATATACAAATCCACACAAGGCCACAGCTTGAGAAAAATTTCTCTCTAACTATAGTTTCACACTACTTTACCTTATGGGTCCAGCTGATCTAAATAATACAAGAACCAAATTCTTCCATCCTTGCTCATACTGGGCAGCATTGAGTAAGGGTGGCAGAGTCTGGCCCAAAGAGAATAGATAGTTGATATCCTTTATGTCACACATGGCACTGCCCATTTCGGGCTAGACCTTACAACCTGTCCTGAATGAGGCGTGGCATGTAACTGCACCAACCTAAAAGCAGAGCAGTGGTCCCATTTTGCTCTTAGCGAAGGGGAGGTTACTTCACCCATTTCAGGCAGAAGTTTACTCCTTCCCTTTACACCCAACCAGCTGCTTTGGCCAGAGTGCAGGGAAGGCGGTGCCAGGACTCCTCCCAGTCAGGGACAGAAGAGCCAGCAGCTATCTCCCGCATTGATAATAGTTAGTGGAGATGGAACACACTCCCCTGTACCTTCATGTCAGTTCACCTCTCTTCATTCCCCAAACACATCTTAAAAACCACCTGTTTCCGAATGCGTTCTTTAGTGTTGTAACCCTTCCACACATCTGACAACCCACTGATATTTGCCTCCTTCTATTTTTTTTGTTGGGTCCTTTATAGGACTGTCTTTTAATCTCCATGAATTTGCTGAGTTCTCTGCAATGGTGCAGAATGCCCTAAAAGTCTCTGCATGCTGCATGTTAATAATTATTATTATTCCATTATACATTGCCAATAATCCCCCCCCCTTTTAGCACAAAACTGTTTTATTTATTGTAGCTGTTCTCCCTCAAGTCACAATTACAGTACTGATGGCTTGTTCCAGAATGAAGTGGTAAAATCCATTAGTCTGGCAAATGTATCTTCCAAAGGAATCTGGTCCCTGTGCTTGCTGGAGTGGGGTCTTTCAGGAAACATTCCAAGAAAATGCAGTACACTGAAAAATCATTCTTTATGAAATTCAGGAATGTTCTTCAGAGAAAGCAACATACAGTGCCCAAGCATTTTTTCAGTGATAGCCTAGCCAGGAAACATCAGTCCTTGTCTCAATCATTTCCTATTCCAGTCTGGGAATCCTTAGAGGGTAAACCACACATAGATGAAAAAGTTTTTTGAAACATGTAGCCGCTGTTGGAGGTAGGTGCAGTTTTAATTCTGTGCTGTGACAATCACGCTGCTTTCTAGAGCCTTTAAACTAACGTTCTGTTAATTCTGATATGTAACAAAAGAGAATTTGGATATTTAAATGCTTTTGGGTCAATTTAGCACTCCTGAAATATAAGGGATTGCCCTTATATTGCCAGGAGATTAAAGTCTCTTGTGTCCCCAAAGGGCAGGTGCAACATGCGCATTGGCAACGCAAGCCCTCTTTTCATCGCTCCTCTGAAGACATGCCTCAAACTTGACTGAGAAGGATCAATTACTTGAGAGGCGAGAAGGAAATTCAAGCTCTACACCCACACAATCCTTGGCTTCTATGCTTACACTGCCAACTGAAGTATCAGTTAGTGAAAACTGTGTTGATAGCTTTAGCTTCTATCCCGGGGTGGGCAAACTTTTTGGCCTGAGGGCCACATTGGGGTTGCGAAATGGTATGGAGGGCCGGGTAGGAAAGGCTGTGCCCCTGCCCCAAAAAACTTCCTGCCCCCTGCCCGCCCCCTCACACTTCCTGCCCCGACTGCCCCCCTCAGAACTCCCGACCCATCCAACCCCCCCTGCTCCTTGTCCTCTGACCGCCCCCTCCCGGGACCCCCTGCCCCTAACTGTTCCCCTGGGATCCCCCCCCACCCACAGCCCCTTTCGGAACGTGGCCCTGTGAACATGGGCGGAGGACTCAGGAGGAGCAGGGGCAGCCATGCAGCCGGAGAGAAGCGGCGGTTTCACCTTCAAAGCGCCGCTTCACTCCGGCCGGCTGCGCAGCCACCCAGTGCTCCTCGAGTCCTCCACCCGCGTTCCCGCCACCCACCTTCTCCCCTGCCCCCGCAGTGCAGCCCCTCCCCCCCGCGGGGGGTGTGCTGGTGCTGAGCTGCCCGAGTGCCCAGCCCTGGGTCCCCCTGTTGTTGGGGGGCCCGTGCCAGGGCACCCTGTGTTCACTTGTAAATCTGCCCGAGCCGCGCCGCCCGGCCGGAGCCAGCCACGCTGCCGGCACGGCGAGCTGAGGCCGCGGGGGAGGGGGGACAATGGGGGAGGGGCCGGGGCCGGCTGCTCAGTGGCCGGGCAAGACAGCCCCGCGGGCCGTAGTTTGCCCACCTCTGTTCTATCCACTAGTACTTGTTCTGAGACCCACCAGCTCATTTCCCATAGGCCGACAAAGAGTCAAGAGATGGTAATGACTTTCCATCACTATTAACATGGACCACAGTACCCATAGTCCATTTCAGTACCCAACCCCCTCTACCTTCCATATCGCTCCTTCCTATCATGGTTGTGTCCCGTAGATTTCCCCACAGAGAACTGCATTTCTTTAAACATAACTTCCATTTCCTTTTCTTCTGGAGTTGTGAAAATAAAAAGCACCTCTGTAGAAAACAATCTAGTGTTAAGAGAATTGTACTATAGCAGTGGTTCTCAAACTTTTGTACAGGTGACCTCTTTCACATAACACGCCTCTGAGTGTGACTCCCAAAATAAATTAAAAACACATTTTTATATTTTTAACACCATTATAAATGCTGGAGGCAAAGTTGGGTCAGGGGTGGAGGCTGACAGCTCGCGACCCACCCCCCATGTAATAACCTCACAACCCCCTGAGGGTTCCCAACCCCCAGTTTGAGAACCCCTGTACTATAGGTATGGGGGGAGGTGGGGAAGCATCTCTATGTAAAGCCAATGGCAAAAACCGTGCAAGCTTTTCTTTCAACTTCCCAAATGTTCACTTTGCTTGAAAAGAGCTATGAGAAGAAATTAGTAGCTGATTCTAGTATGCCTGTATTCAAAGGTTTCCAGGAGCTAGGCACTAGAATCCTAACTGCACATGGTGAGAATGTACATCTCAGTCCGGGAGAGCCTGAATTCAGGTACAGGATATTTAAAGCAGATTTTGTTCTCTTTTTTTATAAAGCACCGTACAACATAGAAACAGAAATCAAATGTGGCCTTAGAGATAAGAACAGATTTTTACTTCACCCTCCTGGTGAGTTCATAAATCCCTTGCAGTTTAGTTTTGTGATTTGTTGCATCATCAAATCTTTCCAAGGAAGCTGAAGCCTTGGCGCCTATTCATCATCCTAGGATCATAGGTATTATTGTGACTGTCAGTACATCTAATCTCCCAGGACCAACCTAGAAGGGAAGGATGACATTGCAGCTCAAGTTTTGGGAACGGAAATCAGGAAAACTGGTTTCTGTTCCCAGCTCCACCATGGATATTCTTTATGACCTGGGGAAAAGATCTCTGGGTTAAATTTTGGGCCCACTGAAGTCAGTGGGAGTTTTGACATTCGTTTCAGTGGGGACAGGATTTCACTTATTAATAACAGGTTTCAGAGTAGCAGCCGTGTTAGTCTGTATCCGCAAAAAGAACAGGAGTACTTGTGGCACCTTAGAGACTAACACATTTATTAGAGCATAAGCTTTCGTGGGCTACATTCTTATGCATTCTTCAGATACATATGAAGAAGTGGGCTGTGGCCCACGAAAGCTTATGCTCTAATAAATGTGTTAGTCTCTAAGGTGCCACAAGTACTCCTGTTCTTTTTACTTATTAATAACCGCAACATGCTTTGAGATCCACAGATAGAGGAGAGCAAAGCTTTAGTCTTCTAATAGGACTTTTCAATTGTGCTTATTTCCTTCAGTAGTGATGGGAGCAAATCTCTAAGTACTTAAGGCCCCCGGTAAACAGGGTGAAAATGCCCACCTGCACCTAACTCACATACTTTGAATATCTGGTCCAAACCTACCCCCTCCCTGGGGTTTGCCTTCATTGTTAAACAGCAAACTAAAATAAACCTCAGCCTAAACTTTCTCCAGAGCTTAGCAATTCCTACGCTCTTTCCCCTGAAGGATACCCTCTAATTCCTTTTGCCTTACAGTCAAACCTTTTTGTACACCTTGGTAAGACTAATTATTTAGACATGCCTGGACAAGGAGGAATCACCAAAATCACTTTATATTTCTGTGCAGGGTCCTAGTACCTGACATCTTGTTATATACACCCTTATTCTGTAACAGCTTCTAAAACTGGTCATAACATCACGTCCAGTTTCAGTCACAACATTCTCTTCCACGAGTCACAATAAAAGTTTTACAAAATAGCTGCGTTCGAAAGACTTGTTTTGCCTTTTTCACGCCTTTCAGCTTGTAAGACATTGTATTACTTGTGAAAATGAGGGACCAATAACATTGGCGTGAGCGTGGCATGCTTTTGCGAGGTGCAGAGCAAGCTTCCTGCACACAGCTCTGTCAATAAACCTCACTCCTGATCTACAATAGCCCCTGCTCTTCCAGTCCTATTCCCCGCTCGAATCACACATCTCTCTCTGCCAATTCTCCTCAGTCTGAACTACAAGAGCCCCAGATATTCTGGAGCTGGGCCTCTTGAACAGACACCCAGAGTGTTGTCCAACTGGGTGCCTTTTCTTGTGTGTCATGAAAACTAGGTTGAGACCGAACAGTTTTTCATTTTGATATAGACCACTGTTTCAACCTACCTTTCCCATGAAGTGCCAACTAATCATTCAGATTTTCATGAGAGAGGCCCATTTCTGATGGGCTTCTCCCGTGTCCTGGAATTAAATCCTGTTAATCTCTGGCTTGAGAATTTAATGACATTTGCATAATGACATGATGATGCAAACATTATGACATCAAACCACCACACTTCTGTCTCAAATCAGGGTGTCTGAAGGGAGCAAAATCTTTGTTTAAGACTAGATTCGTCTT